GATTTAAAAAAAAAAAGAAAGAAAGAGAGGACATAGGATGCAAGGTCAATATAAAAAATCCATTGAATTTCTAAATTCTGGTAGCAAACACTCTAGAAATAAAATTAAGAAAATAATTTTATTTACAATAGCATCCAAAAATACTGTCCAGCCGTGTGGCTTAGTGATTGAGCATTGACCCATGCACTAAGAGGTCACCAGTTCGATTCCCAGTCAGGACACATGCCCAGGTTGTGGGCCCGATCTCTAGTGGGAGGCGTGCAGGAGGTGGCCAATCAATGTTCTCTCTCATCAATGTTTTCATCTCTTTCTGTCTCTCCCTTACTCTCTCTCTAAAAATCAATAAAGAAAAAAATTTTTTAAAAACATACAAAAATAGTTAGAAATGAAAGAAGTGTAAGACTTGTACACTGAAAAATATAAAACATTGCTGATAGAAGTTAAAAAAAAATCTAAGTAAATGGAGAGTGTTCCATGTTCATGGAGTTGAAGACTCACTATTGTCAAGGCTGCAATTCTCTCCAAATTATCTATAAATTCAAATTCAATACTATAACTACCAAAATCCCTGTGGCTTTTTTTTTTTTTTTTGTAAAAATTGACAGGCTGATCCTAATATTTATATAAAAATGCAAAGGACCTAGAATTGCCAATTTAAAAAAACAAAACAAAACAAAGTACACAATCCAATTTTAAAACCGACTATAAAGCTACAACAATCAATACTGTGTGGTCATGTAACTCAATGGGACAGAATGGAGAATTCATAAATAAGTCCTTCCATTTAGGGTAAATGTATTTGTTAACAAAGCTACTAACATAATTCAATAAGGTAAAAGATGGTCTTTTGAATAAATGAAGCTGGAACAACTGGATATCCACATTAAAAAAAAGAAGAAGAAGAAGAATTTAGACATTTACCTAACCCCATACTCAAAAATGAACTCAAAATGGATCACAGACCTACATGGAAAAGCTAAAACCATAAAATTTCAAAAGAAAATATAGCAGAAAAATTTTTGTGACTGATTGAGGAGAGTTTTTAAATACAATTTAAAAGCATGATTCATAAAAGAAAAAAATTGAGCCTTGGCCGGTTTCGCTCAGTGGTTAGAGCATCGACCTGCGGTCCCGAGAGACCCAGGTTCGGTTCCCGCTAAGGGCACGTACCTCGGTTGCAGTTTGTCCCCGGCCCTGGTTGGTCGTGCGGGTGGCAGCCACTCGATGTGTCCCTTTCATGTCGATGTTTCTCTCTCTCAATCTGTTTCTCTCTCTTCCTCCCACTCTACCTAAACAAAAAATAGAAAAATGTCCTCGGGTGAGGATAATAAAAATAAATAAATAAATAAATAAATAAATAAATAAATAAATAAATAAATAAAATTTTTTTTTATTTTTATTTTTTATTTTTAATCCTCACCCGAGGACACTTTTCCATTTTTTGTACAGATAGAGTGGGAGGGAGAGAGAGGAAGGGAGAGAGAGAGAGAAACATCGACGTGAAGGGACACATCGAGTGGCTGCCACCCACACGACCAACCAGGGCCGGGGACAAACTGCAACCGAGGTACGTGCCCTTAGCGGGAATCGAACCCGGGTCTCTCCGGACCGCAGGCCGACGCTCTAACCGCTGAGCCAAACTGGCCAGGGCAAAATTTTTTTTAAAAAAGAAAAAAATTGATCGATTTTACTTCATCAAATTTTTAAACTTTTTCACTTTGAAACACACCCTTATGGAGGGAAAAAAGGACAAGCAATAAACTGAGAGAAAATATTTGCAAATTATGTATCTGAAAATCTAATTGAAAAATTGGGGAAAATATTTGAATTGACGTTACTAAAAAAGATAAGTGAATGGCTAAAGAGCTCCAGAGAAAAGACTGAACATCATTAATCATATGAAAAGTAAAACCAGCCTGGCCAGTGTGGCTCAGTGGTTGAGCATGACCCATGCACCAAGAGGTCGCCGGTTCGAGCAGGGCACATGCCCAGGATGTGAGCCAAATCCCCAGTGGGGGGCATGCAGCAGGCGGCCATTCGATGTTCTCTCTCATCGATGTTTCTCTCTCTCCCTCTCCCTTCCTTTCTCTCTAAAATCAATTAAGAAAAAAAAAATTTTTTTAATAAAAATAAATAAATAAAGTAAAACCACAATGGGACCCCATTTCACATTCACCAGAATAGCTATAATTTAAAAAGATAGAAAATCAGTTGTGGTGAACATTGAAACCTCTACATCTGGCAGGACTTTTGTCTTCTAAACACAATGAGATTAAGGGAGATTTACGTCTGTCTTTTAAGTCTGCAATCTAACTCCCCAGCCTCTCACATAGTCCCAGAAGTCAGCAAGTATTTAGAACAGTGGAAGTCGTGGTTGTACCCCCCAGGTCCCTCTTCGAGTCTGAAACGCTCATTGCACCCTCTGCCAGGAGTACCATCAGCTGAAGGCTCACAGATGCGTCCTCCTTCCCTGGGAATTGTACTTGACCAGAGGAAGATGCTTCATCCAAGATTACACCCTCATCCCCACGGACAGCTTGCATTCGATGACTAGTTGATTGAAGACCAAAGGCCCAACCTCTTACCTCAATTGGGGACATCTCTAAATAGTCATCCCAGTTTCAGAGCTCCCTGCAAGACGGGCTGAGGCACTATTGCAACTATATGAATCAGCACTCGACTTCTGCCACATCCTGGTTTTCTTGCTCACTCACAGATGTTGTTGCGATGACTCCCCAGTAAACCCCCAAATGCAAATCTCTGATACAGTATCTGTTTTCTGAGACACTCATCTTGCAACACATGGAGGAAACTGGAGAAGCCTCTGGATTTTCCAATCTGTTGCACCACCCCACATGACCACCAAAAGCCTTGCTGGGTTTCTCTTTCTCTCCGTAGAGACCCTCTGAATGGACCAAGTCCAGGATCAGTAAATGCTGCCAGCGAACAAATGGCCACTCACCTCAGGAGAGCGCCTCCTCTCTGGAATTCCTCTTCACCTAGTCCTTGTTGCTTTTGTAGCTCTCCTGTGTCTTTAAACATAGGACTTTTTAAATGTATCTGTACTTTTCTGGTTGTTGCAGGGTGAGTGTTGGGCTTCCATGACCTACTACATCCTATCTAGAAATGGAAGCCTCTAAATATAGATTTTTAAAAATTCCAAATACATGAATATTAACTTGTCTGAACTTAATTGTAGTCAGAAAAGGTGTTTGTAGTATTCAAATATTTTTTAAAATTGTTTCCTTTATTGATTTTAGAAAGAGAGGAAGGGAGAGGGAGATAGAAACATCGATAAGAGAGAACATTAATTAGCCACCTCCTGTATACCCTCCATGGGGGATTGGGCCCACAACCTGGGCATGTGCCCTGACCGGGAATCGAACCAGCGTCCTCTTGTTACATGGGTTGATGCTCAACCACTGAGCTACAATGGTTGGGCTATTCAGATATTTTTTAATTTGCTGAAATTTTTATGGTTGTCTGTATAGTCAAATTCAAGAAAATATTTCATGTGCCCTGGCCAGTATGGCTCAGCAGTTAGAGCATCAGCCTGCGGTCCGGAGAGGCCCGGGTTTGGTTCCCGCTAAGGGCGCGTACCTTGGTTGCAGTTTGTCCCCGGCCCTGGCTGGGTGATGCGGGTGGCAGCCACTCAATGGTCTCTTTCACGTCGATGTTTCTCTCTCTCTCTCTCTCTCTCTCTCTCTCTCTCCCTCCCACTCTATCTGAACAAAAAATGGAAAAATGTCAGGTGAAGATAAAAAGAAATAATAGTATTTCATGTACTTTGAAAAGAACATGGATCCTCACTGTTGAATGCAATGCCCTTTTTGGGTTTGTGGGATCAAGCTTGTGCATTGCTCTTTTCAAATTTATGTTCTTACTGATTTCTGAGGTAGTAAAAATTCCTACCACTGTGGAAAACTCGTTCTTCTCTCCATATTTGTTTTATATATATATTGGACCAATGGTGTTGGATGAAAAAAGTTTAGAATTGTTATGACTTCCTGGTGAACTGAGACTTTAATTTTTTTTTATCTTTAGTAATGCCTTTGCTTCTACTTGTACTAATATTAACACAGCTGTACCATCTTCTGCATTTCATTATTTTTTTTAAATGTTTAAGCTCTTGTACCAGCTGGTGAATGTGAACAATGACAAATCAGTTCTCCTGCAGAACTGTATTTCCAGACAGAATGAATAGATGGTTAAACTGACATTAAACATATCCCCATTTTATCAATTATATAATAAAGTATAAAGTACCCAAGTATTACCTTAACATAGTTCAAAGAGCATGTGAAATGTCTGATCAGTTCATTGGAAGAAACCCACTTTTTTTTGGTTGGGAAGACAAGAAAAAATATCACATTTCAAACAAAAATAATAGTTAATAAACAACTTCTAACAGGTATAACAAAAGAAATACAAGATTTTCAGAAATTTTTAATTAAAACTCTTTTAGCTACAAAGCATCTCTACCTTTAAAAAATGTTTACTAAGCCCTGGCTGGTTGCCAGCTCAGGGCACATGCCTGGGTTTCAGGCTCCATCCCCAGGAGGGGTTGTGCAGGAGGCAGCCGATCAGTGTTTCTCTCTCCCTCCCTCCCCCTCTTCCTTAAGTCAATAAAAACATAGTTTTTAATTTACCAATATGAATTGTTATACACAGTCAGGCAGATAGAAAATATTTATTATGACATTATTCATTACAGATGAAGAAAAGATATCGTGTGTTTCACAAAGTCACAGGGGAGTGGCAGGGCTGGGTCAGCAGCACCCCCACAGCCAGAACAAAGCTGGATCCCATCCCCAGCCCCAGTGGCAGTGGGGTACCACGGGTATGGAGGGAAGACAGGAGGGGAGAACCTGTCTACATGAATTCAATAAGCGGCTAAAAAAGCAAGCTCCTCCCAAAAGCACCCAAACCGTGTAACACAATTTTTCAAACATTAAAAATATAAAAACTGGCTCCAGGAAACGCAGGTCCAAACTCTGGGGTCACACAAACAGCCGGGACCCCCGCAGGTACTTGTTCAGTGGCCACAGGTTGCTGTGGCCCACGTTGGAGGTGCTCCTCTGGCACTGCTTGCAGCGCTGGTACTTCTCACACTGGTCCAGCAGGAACAGCTTGTCTGCGGCCCTGGGGAGGGGTCAGGAGGAGCAGCCGTGAGCGCACGGTCCCGGAGTCCTTGCTCAGGGCCTGGCGTGGAAGCCAGGGCAGTGGAAGGGATGCAAAAGAAAAGTAATACCTGGACCCCCGCCCTCCAGGAGCTTACCACCCACCTGTCCTCTCCCACGTGCAGTCTCTCCCCCTCCACACTGCCACCTGCAGTTCACCCCAGCATGGCCTCTCCTGCTTCCAGTCCTCTGCCAGCTCCTCATTCCCCAGGAAATAAAAGGCTCAGGTGCCTGCACAGTACTGACCCGGCCCTCCTCCCCAGCCACGCCCCCCGAGACCCTCAGAGAACACAGGACTGGCCCAAGGTCACACAGCCAGCTGCATGTGCCTCAAAGCCCCCATGTTTGCTGCTTTGCCCTGAGGACGCACTGTTACCCGGCAGGCTCCCCAGAGACAGAGACCGAGAGGGAGATCAGGCCATCAAACTGCTGGTTGACAGTTAACACCGCAGCACGGTTAAGAGTACACTTGCAGTGAAACATCACAGGAGGCCAGGGACCTCTGGAGAGTTAGGGCAGGAGAGGGGAATGGAGACGAGGAGGACACAGGAGGCTCAAAACAGATGAAGAGAGGGACATGCCAGCTTCCCACTTCAATATCTGCTCTTGATCATGCAGGGCATGCCCAGTGTGTTGCCCTGTGCTACAAAAGTTTCTACATGGGTGAAATTCTGTAAAATGCAGCATCAAGGGCAGCCTTAAAATGAAAAGGCAATCTTGGCAGTAGGCAGGGGAAGGCCTACCTGGCTGGCCTTGGCAATGGTATGGAGCATCATGCGCTCACTGCAGACATCTGAACCTTGTGTTTGCTTTCGCCTTTTCTCTTTCAAACCAACCATTTCCTTCTTCCTGCCTGCTGCCTGCGGGCGTCCCTGCCCACACTTGACCTAAATCTTCAGGGCAGAGGTCTGCTCTCTTCCAAAACCCAGCTACAGTGATCCCTGTCCTTAATCTCTCTGCCTTTTACCTGCTTTCCCCAGCACTGAGGAGGTTTGAAGTCTCCAACTCCCCTTGCCCTTGCTCTTTCAAACAACCAAACACCCCCACTTCCCTTTGGAACCTATTTCCCATGTCATCCCTCATACTTCATTGTCACAAAATATGGGTTCTACTCATTACAAAAACAGGCCAAAAAAAAAAGGCCTTAAAAGAAAATCTAAACGAAAAAGGAGAGTTTCAGATCAAGACCCATTACAACAATTTTTTACCCATGATAACAGTTAGTTGATAATTGGCAATTTAAAATATTTTGGTAGCCCTGGCCAGTTTGGGTCAGCGGTTAGAGCGTCAGCCTGCGGTCTGGAGAGACCCGGGTTCAGTTCCCGCTAAGGGCATGTACTTCGGTTGCAGTTTGTCCCCGGCCCTGGTTGGTTGTGCGGGTGGCAGCCACTCGATGTGTCCCTTCACGTCGATGTTTCTCTCTCTCTCTCCCTTCCTCTCTCTCCCTCCCACTCTATCTGTACAAAAAATGGAAAAATATCCTCGGGTGAGGATAAAAAATAATAATAATAATAAAATATTTTGGTATATTTAGGTTTTTATAACATTTGATCGTATATAGGCTTGGGTATGTTTTTTTTTTCCCCCAAGTTTTTAACGTTCTATGAAATCATACCTTACATTGGTAAAGAGTTTTAATTTTTTAAGAGTAGTGCTTTTCCACCTCCTCATTTGATCCCCCAAAACACCTGTGTTAGCGAAGTCAGGCAGATGTCTACATTCCATCTTACACATAAGAAAATGCTAGCTGCCTCTCCAAAGTTAGTGTTAGTTTTCAAAGCCATGAGTGGAGTCCCTGAATCTAGATTGTAGAGAGATCGCTGCAGAGAGGGAACAGGGATACGATAGTACATTTCAGGAAGATGTTTTCGGTTGGTTCCATAGTGGGTTTCGTACTTTTCCAGTTGCCCATCTTACCCACAACCCCTGGACTCTGCCCGAAAATGATCATGCTGTAAGCCTTGGCTGTGTTCCGGTGGAAACTCAATCTCCCTATTTCCAAAGAGAATTCCCGCCCCCTCGCCCCAAGCCTCCCCACCCTCCCCCTAAAAAGAAAATAAAGCCACCCTGTGCAGAGGCAAGGATTCGGCCAGAGAGGGCAGCTGAGTGACACACGCCCAACAGTCTCCAATCCCATATTAGCAGCAGACGTGTCTCATACTCGGAGCAGCTTTTCTCACTGAACCCAGAATTCTCTTCTCTACGAAGTTCCACAGGCGGCCACTACTAACCAGCTGGAGTCGGCCCTTGAAACCTATTTGCCATCCCATGATTAGAGGAAAGTAAACAAGGAGCAGAGGGGATTTAATTTGCAAATAAAGAACATCTGGTTCAAATCAGGTATTACCGCTCGAAAGCCTTCTCCTCCAGGTCCCGCTGCCTCTTCATTTCAGCACTCCGTTCCCAGTCCTCCTGTAAGCTTTGGTTCATCCTGTTCACTCGCTCCAGCTCAGCATTCCTATCTGCCAGGTGCCTGGAGAGAACAGAATAGTCAGGTTCCCTTCACAATGCTGGGAAGGGCATGCACCAGCCTCGGGAGCCCATTCCTTTTATGGTAAATTAAACAAAAACCTTCTGGTTTTGCTCACTACTCTTTGAAATGTACTAAGAGACATGAACACTGGGGAAAAAAATAGCGAAACTCCTAGCTCTCAAATAATTGATGGGTTTAGGACCTTTCATCTTCAATCCTGGTTTAAGTTAGCAGGATTGAAACCTGTTTCCAATGAGCAAATTCAGCCTTTATAGCTATTGATTTCCTCTGAGGCTCTGAAGAATCATCTCAAATGGATTTCCAATACTTTATATTTTGTTCCTTTTATCCCAGCCTCTCGGCTGTCAGCAATCAGCCTACCAGTTGCTATAAGCATTTTACAAGATAAAGTAGACAGGTGTACAAAGGGGAAAAAGAAACAGAAGTGACTAGGCAAAAGAAAATGAAGTTGAGAAAATATCTAACATTGTAAAGAAAGTAAAGCAAAAAAAAAAAGGAGTGTTTGGTGAAGGTCAAATCTTCATAGAAGTGACTGCTGTATAATCTCTTCAAGAACTATGTTCCAATATTCCCAATGTTAAGTGCTTCTATTACAAGTCTCCAAATGTATAGTCATTGCTATCATGAATCACTTTAAATCTGGTTCAAACTATTTATATGTGTCTATTTCTTGCCAAACAAAAACGCTTACCATCAGCTTTCAATAAAGTCTAGAAGGGACTTCACTCTCTGTGACCTTGATTTAGCCTGCTCTCAAGGGCTTTGTGTTACAGGGAGCAACCACCACTAGGTGTCAGGACCCACCAATAAAAATCAATAATGTGCTCTGTGCTCATTCACTTTTCCTAACAGCATGGCCACATTTTCCTCTAACAAGCATTGGTTCAAGCACTCATAAAGATTAAATGAAATACACAGAAAGTACCAATGACTGTCACACGATGGGAGCTCAATAACTGAATGGTACTTACAATACGTATTTTTATAACCTTTTTTATAGCTATTTTAATTGTAGTAAAAAATACATAACATAAAATCAAGCATCGTAACACCACTTGTAAGTGTCCAGATATATAGTGTTAACTATATTAATATCATTATGCAACCAACATCCAGACACTTTTCACCGCATAAAAAATTGAAACTCGCCCTGGCCGGTTTGGCTCAGTGGTTAGAGCGTCCGCCTGCGGTCCGGAGAGACCCGGGTTCGGTTCCCGCTAAGGGCATGTACCTCGGTTGCAGTTTGTCCCCGGCCCTGGTTGGTCATGCGGGTGGCAGCCACTCGATGTGTCCCTTTCACATCGATGTTTCCCTCTCTCTCTCTTCCTCTCTCTCCCTCCCGCACTGTCTGTACAAAAAAATGGAAAAATGTCCTCCGAAAGAGGATTAAAAATAATAATAATAATTTAAAAAAAAAAAAGCCCTGGCCGGTTTGGCTCAGCAGTTAGAGCGTCGGCCTGCAGTCCGGAGAGACCCGGGTTCGGTTCCCGCTAAGGGCATGTACCTCGGTTGTAGTTTGTCCCCGGCCCTGGTTGGTCGTGCGGGTGGCAGCCACTCGATGTGTCCCTTTCACATCGATGTTTCTCTCTCTCTCTCTCCCTCCTGCTCTATCTGAACAAAGAATGAAAAAGTGTCCTCGGGTGAGGATAATTTAAAAAAAAAAATTGAAACTCTATACTCATTAACCAACTCCCCATTTCTCTCCCCCTCTGGCAACCACCATTCTACTTTGTTTTCAAGAATCTGACTACTCTGAATATCATCTATAAGTGACATCATATAGTATTTGTCTTTTTGTGACTGACTTATTTCACTTAGCCTAATGTCCTCAGGGTTTATCCATATTGTGACATCACAATTTCCTTCCTTTTTAAGGCTGAATAATATGCCATTGTATGTGTATAACTACATTTTGTTTATCCATTCATCTGTGGTTGACCATTTGGGTTACTTTCATTGCTCACCTATTGTAAATAATGCTGATATGAACAGAAGTGTGAAAATATCTCTTCAAGATTCTGCCTTCAGTTCTTTTGAATTCAAATCATATTATAATTCCACTTTCAGTTTTTTAAGGACTCGTCATACTGTTCTCCATGGTGGATGCACCATTTTAAATTCCCACAACAGTGCGTAGGGTTCCTATTTTTCCACACCCTTGCCAACACTTATCATGTTCTGGCTTTTTCATAGTTGCCATCCTAATGGGTGTGAGGTAGCCTCTCTCTCTCTATCTTGGTTTCCTTTATTTTTCCCCTTTACATCATATTTGCATTTTAGTGGTTTTGTTTACCACAAAGTAGACAGTTTTCTTCCTTTCTCATCTTTTGAATAGTTTAAAAGAAGTGCTTCTTAAATGTTTCACAGTGTGTGTGGTTGTAAGGAAAATCTGTAATTGTTCTTGATTTGTATATTTCACAAGGCAATCCAACCACAGATCTTATAATCCAAGATAAACAATAGCACATCTTATCTTTGCATTTATAAAAAATTATTATACTGTTCAGCAAATGTATAAATGTTTTCTTTTCATAAAGCCCTAGGAAAATTAAGATAGCCGTCTTATATGTATACATTATACTGATATACAGATACATCTTAAATAGTGAAATACTTTTTCCTACAGCTACGTAAGTGACTTGCAGGGGAAAACATGAACAATTTGCTAACTGCTTATTCCAGTCAGAACTGCCATAGAGATACATATATATGATTGGAATTAAATTTTTTAATTGTATAATATAAAACACATATTTTAAACCTTACCTTCCTACCTTGCCATCTTGTTCACTGGAGTGAAGAATCACTGTATCTGAGGTTCACATAAGTAAATATTCAACAAAACATGAACTATTTCTTATCTTGGAAAGGCAAAAGCTGAGTTAAGTGCTACATGACCTCTGTTTCAAACAGAGCAGACGACGAGAGCTGATGGTCGAACAAGGCTCACGGTGTACGATTCAGGGAATGTGGAAATTGTTTGTTAGTGAACAGCTAGCTCATTGTGGTTTTCATTTGCATTTCCCTAATAATAACATAGATATTATTCTGTTCTCCACATTAATGATGTTGAGCATCTTTTCATATGCTTTATGGCCATTATTATATTATCTTTGGAAAGATAGATTAAAAAGTTGGTTTAATTTAAATGCCTAGAAAGAAAATGAAGTAGGGTTCGAGGGGAGGCAACTAGTGTCCTCACAAGACTGCTGGTGGATGCAAACGGCTGCACCTTTTTTTTTACAAAGCGAACTGTGAGTACCTGGTAATATTGAAAGCGTTCCATATGCTTGATCTAGCAAGCCCAGTTTTAGAAATTTATCCAATAGGAACCAAAAAAAGTATAAATTATATGTAAAACCAGAACATATTGAAAATGTTTAAGGCAGCCTGGCTGGGTTGCTCAGTGATTGAGCATCCACCCATGCACCAGGAGGTCGCTGGTTTGATTCCTGGTTAGGGCACAGGCTCAGGTTGTGGGCTAAATCCCCAGTGGGGGGCATGCAGGAGGCAGCCAATCGATGTTCTCTCTCATCAATGTTTCTATCTCTCTGCCTTTCCCTTCTTCTCTCTATAATTGATTTTTTAAATGTTTTTTAAATAGAAATGTTGAAGGCAAAATTGTTATAGCAAAATATCTGGAAACAAAGTGAATGTTCATGAATAGTACAAAAGTAAAATTGCAATAATCTATATTATAGATAGTATTCTTTTATTAAATTAGAACAATGAATTTTATATATATGTACCAACATAAATATAAATTAATGACACATTATAAGATTAAAGCCCTGGCCGGTTTGGCTCAGCAGTTAGAGCATCAGCCTGTGGTCCAGAGAGACCAGGGTTTGGTCCCTGCTAAGGGCATGTACTTAGGTTGCAGTTTGTCCCCGGCCCTGGTTGGGTCGTGTGGGTGGCAACCACTCGATGTGTCCCTTTCACGTCGATGTTTCTCTCTCTCTCCCTCCCACTCTATCTGAACAAAATATGGAAAAATGCCCTCAGGTAAGGATTAAAAAAAAAGATTAAAGACAGGTTAGGTTGTAATGTATGAAAGCTCATAGGTATCACTTTCATTTACAAAAATGGAAGGAAAATCATATGTGCACATTGTTTTAATATATTTGTAAAAGATAGGAAAAAATATAAAAGTTTACATATTAACCTTAACACTGACTACTTGGACGGGAGAAATTATTAATATGTTTTTTTAATCTCTCCACCAATTAACATTTTAATTAGCATGAATTGTGGGTTTTTCCCCCAGATGGGGGGGGGGGAATCGACGGGAAAGGGACACATGGAGTGGCTGCCACCCACATGACCAACCAGGGCCGGGGACAAACTGCAACCAAGATGCGCGCCCTTAGCGGGAACCAAACCCGGGTCTCTCTGGACTGCAGGCCAACGCTCTAACCGCTGAACCAAACCGGCCAAGGCTATTATATTTTTTTAAAAACAAACACAGAAAAGATTTTTTAAAAAATAAAACAAGTAAAAACGACCTTAGCAAGCCTGTTGGAATTACACAGACTAAATGATCCCCGGGAAGCAAATGGCCTTCTATTTGCCGCACACAGCCCTGCGCTCACATCTTGATGAACCAGAGGGCGGGGAGTTGGGAGAGACGAGACGCGAGACAAACGGAGTAACAAGGGTCTGAGCTGCACAGAAAACAAGATCTGAGACCACGGAGACAGCCAAGCGAAGACCACGGTTCGTGTGTGTTCAGAGCTCTGCGGTTTCCACACGTGCTCCCACACGCGATCTCGTGACCCTCTTAGTAAGGACAGGCAGGGCAGCGGGGACTGTCCTCGTCTCTCAGGAGGAGAGGAGCCCTCCGAGACCGCGTGTGCAGTCCGGCTCAGGTCAGGCCGCTTGCGGGCCACAGGGTTCACCCTCCTAACTCCAAGCGGGGCAGACCAACTAGAGAAGCCAAGGGCTCAAAGCGGAGGAGGAAACTGCAATGATCCCTGCAACAAGTGCCGAGGGTCCCGGCACTGGCTGTGACAGCACGTGTGGAAAGGCAGACCACCATGGGACAAGAAGAGACAGAAGCTGTCCACAAGAACGATTTCATTTAATCCTCAACCACCCCTAACAACTGATAAGGAAACCAGTGCCCTAGGAGGTGTGTAACGTGCAATATCCCACCAGTGAAATGGCAGAACCACATCCATCCATCAGAACGGACTGGACGTGGTCTTGGAGACTCCAGGTATTCGTGCATGAGGGGAAAGGTCTGGAGAGGGGATGGGGCGATCCCAGGGAGGGCGGGGCAGCAAGGGTGCATGTGTGGGGCTTGAGGCAATAGCTACTTTTCAAGAAGTATAAAAATGTTTCAATATTTTAGCAAATAATATAGACATACAAATATATATTGTCCTGGGCAGATGCACAACTATCCCACATGTGACTTGACTCTCAAAGCCATGCATTTAACTACTCTTAGCTCTCTCTACTAAGCCAACCTCACCCTTGTCACTAGACACTCCTTCTTCAACCTACTGCTCTATTCCTATTTCCGTGTCTGAGCCTACCTGGTACTTAGAACATAAAGATCTTTGCATCATCCTACTGCACATTTATAAAATTTTAATAAAATAACTTCTCTTCTTGTGTGAGTACAACTGCCTTCTAAAAAGAGGAGATTCCTTTGGCCCTGGCTGGTTGCTCAGTGGTTAGAGCATGGGACCCATACACTGAAGGGTCACTGGTTTGGTTCCTGGTCAAGGGCACATACCTCAGTTGCAGGTTCAATCCCCAGCCCTGCTGCATGGATGTTTCTCTCTCTCTCTCTCTCTCTCTCTCTCTCTCTCTCTCTCAATCAATGGAAAAAAATATCCTCAGGAGAGGATTAACCCCCCCAAATTTTTTTCTTAAATAATGAAAAGAGGAGACTCCTTTGAAGAAAAGTCCATTTGGAACTCCTGAGCACTTTGATGATTTTATAAGACTCCCCATTGGTGGAATAACTAATTAGGCCTTTTAAGAAACTAAGTGGTGTTTGAATTTAAAGGTACTTGCACTGATATGGCATGAAGTCCTCCTCTGCCCAACTGGTCACCTTCATCACCCCTCCCCAGAAATCATCAGTACAGCTTTCTGTATGCTCAGTTCTTTGAGGGAAGGGGGTTTAGTGGGTTTACTTTGATAACTTTTCTTCATAGGGTGAATTGTGAGGATGAAATGAGATAAAGCATGTAATAAGCTTAGAACAATATTTTGCACATAGTAACTCCTCATTGTGTCCACTATTGTTATTGTGTGTCTGCTCTTGGGGGGGAGGGGTGGATCAGGGAGAGGAGGAAGGGAGGAGGAGGAATGATCTGGGGTCTCCTACTCTTTCTGTGTGTTCTGAAGCATCAGCAAATCCCGCCTCTGGTCCACCAGTTGGTCCAGGATGGCTTTCCTCTTGTGCTTAGCAGCTGTCTCCAGCTGGTGCTTCATGTAATTCTGTTCTCGCTTTCGCTTTTCTACCCACAGGTCATCCTCATTCTCACCAAAGATGGGCTCGAAAGAGTCTGGCTCAGATATGGGCAGCTGGGGGAATTTGTTCTTTATCTGAAACAGGGACACACATAATGCAGATTAGTTATACCAGGGAATAAACTTTATGCACAAGGCTGGAGCACAGTAAAATACCCAACACCTTACAGGAAGGAACAGGGGCCTCAAAACCACCAAAGGGATAACTCACATTACAGTATTCATACATATTTTTAGAATGCTATTGAAGCACTGCACATTTTTTTAATTTTTTAAAAATTTATCTTTATTGTAGAAAGTATTACAGATGTTCCCCTTTATCCCCAATTGTTTCCCTTCTCCCCACCCACCCCCACTTTACTGCACTATTGTCTGTGTCCACAGCTTATGCATATATGCACATAAATTCTCCGGTTTCTCTCTTCCTGCACCCCCCTTCCCTCTGACGTTCACCAGTCTGTTCCCTGCTTCTATGTCTCTGGATCTATTTTGTTCATCCGTTTATTTTGTTCATTAGATTCCACATATAAGTGAGAGCACCGCACAATTTTTAACTTAATAATGTTCCCTTACCTGTGCATCCAAAGCTCTCTTATAACACTCTGTTTCTTTCATCTTATCTTCTATATATTTGGCTCTTTGTGCAGCAAGTCTAGCAGTAAAGGATAAGAGAAGGTGGGGGCAGAGTTAGTTACTGAGTCTTTTTTAATACAGATTAACATCATCAAACATGTCTAATAAGTATTAATAGGAATAAGAGCCTGATAAGTAAAAAGTAATATTTTCCTACAGGAGCTTTCAGTTTTAAGAAAGAAAATCATAATTTAAATCCATATGCTAGTGGACAGTGTATTGAGCACAGGACAGACTAGACAGGTACAAGCAGGTGACCAACCATACTATACAAAGGCACTACTACTAAGACAGGCACTTTTCCTTGCCCCAAGCTTTAAAAAATTCTGATAGAAAAGGAGAAAGTGTCTATTCATTCTATAAAATGATTCATCATAAGATTCCTTTTAAAGAAAAGTGATCTTTCCTATTATAAATTATGATTCTTTTTATATGTAACGTCCAGGGAATGCACATGAGTATAACAGAACATTCACATTTTATGAGAATTTTTTGGTCCCAGAAATTAGTGTATTTGTTTTAGAACTCTCTCACTCTGGAGCGGCCTTCTTAATTGCTTTCCTAACCTCGGTAGCAGAAGCGTGGCCCCTTAGGCATGTTTGAATGTGGCCCTGATCCTATCCTGGGCCCCCGAGAATTCAAACGGGACTAGTCAGATTCCCTTGCCTGAAAATTTGGAATTGAGACTGACATTCATTCACATTTAAACTGGAATAAAGATAACTAAAGACAATGTCATTTAAGGAGCTGCGGGCGTGAGCAGAGGGAAAGCTTTTATGACATGGCCTTTAGTCCCATAGTTCCTGTCCTCAGGTTCCATGGGACATCCCTACACACTTCTAATAAAACCTCAGTTTTGCCTTGAGATCACCTGGGAAGAGCTGGGAGTGATGCCCCGCTCCAGACACGTCCCTTCTTCCATCTACCAGTATCAGTGATCACAAAACGAAACAGAGTGAGACTCTACAGTTAAAGTAATTATACATGGGCAATCATTACTGTAATGATCATTATACTAATATTGGGTTTTTCATTTTTCTAATGAAATGTTATGCTGGCAACTAGCTGGGTTAGTTTGCTCATTTGGTTACAGTTGTGCTAAACCACCAATGCTGAGTCAATCCCATAAGCTTCACATGAAGTTAGCTTCGCGTGAAAATTCCCGCTCCGTTTTCCGAGCGTGTCCAGCTACACTCACTCCTCTGTGAGCTGCACTTGCTCCAGGCGTTCCATCAGCTCTTTGTTTTCTCTCTGGTTTAGTTCCTTCTTCCGTCTATTATCCATTTGTTTCAGGAGACTTTGGAAATGTTCCTCTCTCTTTAAAGCCTTAATCTCAGGACTGAATGGCCGTTTATCAAATAGGAAGGATTTCTAGAATGAAAGAGAAGCAATCTATTTTTTCTAGAATACCAAAGAGCAACAAAGAATAAATGTAATTCAGGAGGCTAAAATTAATCAGGAAGTATTTATATTTCTAAATCCCCAATGTATTGACTAGCTAGTAACCCACAGAATAATAGGAATGTGCTTAAGGATAAATCCGAGCAGAACTGAACAAAGCCCAGTATCACAGAGAGAGATGAAAAAAAAAAAAGACTTCATGGAGTAGGTCCGGAGCCTGTACCTACAACACAGAGCAGGAAAGAAGAAGGGATTCTGAGAGTGCAAAAGCATGAGCAAGGACAGAGAAGAGGTGGGAAGAGGGAGGACTGAACACTCGCTCTGGGCCTGGCCATTCTAGACACTGAGGGTTCAACAGTGACCCCGAACGGAGACCCAGCCCTGCCCTCATGGAGCCTGCATCCTGGAGCAGGAAACAGACAGTGAGCGAGTAAACAATACATCAGATCATTTAAGGCCGTGACAAATGCTATGAAGCCCTTGTCATAGCGTGTGACTGGGTGGAAACAGAATTCAGTTGGTTGGTTATTAGGGAAAGCTTTTCAATGGAAATGATTTGAATCACCTTCATTGCAAATATCAGAAGACCTATGTCCCATACAGAAGGAACAGCGAGTGCAAAGACCCTAGTTGAAAACAAGCTTAGCCATGTTTAATATGCAGAAAGAAGGTCTATGTGGCGGAGGCATAGTGAGCAGGGGAAAGTAGAGGTAGATAGATCAAAGTTGGTTTATATTTTATTTTAATGCAATGGGAGCATTAGATACGCTTTGGTTAATCATTTTGAAAGGTCACTGTGTGGACAATAGGTTGTAGAAGGACAAGAAGGCTAATAGCAAGCCTGATTAGGGTGCGTATTGCAGAAGTTCAGCCTTATAGGGTGGTAACACTGAAGATGAAGAGATCTTAGATACATTTGGAAATAAAGGCAACTGGACTTGCAGACGCTTGGATATGGGGGGCAGAGGAGAAGGAATCTGGAATCAGGTGCATGGAACTGTTTGCATGGTGAGGTCACTTACTAAAATGGGAAAACTGAGAGAAGAACAGGTTGAGAAAGTGAATCAAGAATCAAAGTTCTGTTTTGGTCTTTTTAAGTTTAAGATGTTTACAGATATATCAAAGAAGAGATACTAACTAGGCAGTCATAAATATAATATGCAACGTATTAAGAGGTCACAGAGATCGTGCCTAAATCTCAAAAGCTCTGTGTTCTCCCTCCCTCCCTCCCTGCCACCCCTGCCTGGAAGGTTCTTGTTCCACTCAGGTCATCTCCTAACTCCAGTATACCAGGGAGTCTTGCCCAATCTCTGGTCTGGGTTAAATGACTCTTCTCTTTGTTCACTTAGTGCCATGTTCAAAGACTTACCAAAGCATTTAGTACACCACACTCTTGTCGCTCAATTTGAATCTGTCTCCCCCACTATCTTCTTTAGCAAGGAACCCTGTCTTACTCATCTTTGTATTCCTAGCCACCAGCACAGCAAGCACACAGAAATGCACTGATAAATGTTTGACGATGAATAAAGAAAACCGATTTTATTGGCTGTATATCCAGAGTGTCAGACTACCCCTAGATGGTAGGTAAAAGCAGAAGGATTCAGGCAGAAGTAAGGGTAGGCACATAATGATTAAAAACATTAAATCCATGACAGAGCAGGTAGTCCGCCTCCATCTGAAGCTGGGTTTCTCAAACTTTAATGTGCCCACAGATCACCTACGTATCTTACTCAAGTGTAGATTCCCATTCTGGAGGCCTGGGTGGGGACCTTAGATTCTGCATTTCCAACGAGCCATCAGGTGATGCTCGTTCTCTCTTTAGACTAGCTGTTCCTACCGCCCACCACAGCTCCCGGTGGGGAGTTTCCATCATGAACAAGCACTGCAGTGACTAATGGGACCTGCACTGGGAATGTGCAGTGTGGAGGCAGCACCACACCCCTCCCGCCCTGGAAGTGTAATCTCGCACAACCCACTCTGCCCCTCTGCCAGTTAAATCCTGCACTACAGTGTAAAAGAGAAAGGGGGCCAGACCCCAGACTGACAAGCTCCCGGGGGGGGGGGCACACGGCAGGCCTTACACACTCCGTGACCAAAAGGAACCACACAGGGTGATCTGACCACACATTCCTAACTGGGCAGGTCACATAGCAGGTAGTCACCTCCCAGACCTACACCTTCCTTAGCAAAGGCCAATTACCATAAGTGAGCTCTGTCCAGCGTCCTTCCGCGTCTAGGACAGCAAACCTTTGAAAGGCCAGAGGAACTTTCTTTTCCTGTTCCTCAAAGGCCCAGTGCTGGCCCCAGAGCACGAGACCATCAAACCCCACAGTGTTACCTTGTTACTTACATACCATCTTATGTATTTTAATTTTAATTAATTTAATTTAATAATCTAATTTTAATCTCTCTGTATGTTCATTGTTAGCTATCCTGTACCCACAAATGTAAAAGAGACATATGTTCCTCTATTTTGATGTTTTTTTTATCCAATCCCAGAGATTTACTCACTTTGCTTTCTCTCACCTCCTTAATCTACCACCAACGGATTTCATGTAACTTCCTTATGTTCTCTCCTTTGATTCTAACATAAAATAAACTGCAAAATTGCCCATTCTCCGGAGCATTTTCGCAATCCTTTGAGATTTTGCCCCCAGGCATGTCTTCAAAATTTTGATTCAAATAAACTCTTCTAACACTTTTCTATAGGCTGGACATTCTTTTGCTGACAACAGAGTGTGAACCCAAACTTCACACATGAGGCAGGTATTCACAATAAAAATTTTGAAAAGACTCACATAAAATTCAGGTTTCTCATTCTTGTGGATTCTCATAGCTTCAGCAACTCCAAGATTATAGGCAGCATTTTTTTGATTCTGTTCTCTACTAGCCAGATTTCTCATCTTCAAGGGGAAAAAACACATGGAAATACAGCCTTTAAAAAATGTAATTCTATTACATTAAAATAATCCAACCAAGGTAGAAACCTGCCTTTTGAAGGCAATGGGACTTTCCGATGTCTTCATAGATTTATAACAGTGGGTTGGAGACGGTTTTTAATCTCCAGTTCTTAGGCTTCAAGCAACCCCTCTACAGGGACCATAAGAAGGGATGGGTCTGGCTGGTATGGCTCAGTGGTTGAGCATCGACCCATGCACCAAGAGGTCGCCAGTTTGATTCCCAGTCAGGACACATGCCTAGGTTGTGGGCCCGCTCCCCAGTGGGGGGCATGCAGAAGGCGGCCAATCGATGATCTCTCTCATCGATGTTTCTATCTTTCTCTCCCTCTTCCTTTCTCTCTTTCTAAAATTAATAAAGAAAAAAAATTATTAAAAAAAAAAAAAGGGGGGATGGAAGATTCCATAAGTGCTTACCTGATATCACAAATGCAGGAAAGGGGAGAGGGTCAGTTATTGGAGACCACAGACCAATTATTGACAAATGCAAAAGTGTCATTCTGTCTTGATTTTTGAGAAAGGCCATGAATTTGAAGAAAAAAGCCTTGACCAGGATTGTATTTGACCAGAAATAAAAAATAAAGCCATATAAACCCACGAATTCCACCTTTAAAACTCAGTCCTTGTTGGGAGAAGAGGGGAATCAGTGACATGTGCAAACATTCAGCTGCTTGAATGTTCACCCCACTGTCATTTATTATCAGTGAAAAGTTGGACACAACCTAAGTTTAGTTCTTCAGTGTGTAAACAATTAAGTGTGTTACAGTACAGGCGTATGATAGAATATTTTAAATGGCATTTTATAATCATGTTCTACGGTCCCACATTCAATAAACACTTTCATCGAGGAGTTGAATTACCTGGTGTTTGAAGAAAGTCTCTTGATCTTTCAACATTTGATACTGCTGTAGGAGTCGCTCATCTTCTGTCTCTCTCCTCTTCCTCTCCTCACTGTAGTACAACGGGGAATTCCGCTGGGCCCGTTGCAAACAGACGTAACACATCTCCTACAACACCAAGTTTCACGACAAATTAAGTTTTACCTTTTCCTTTTTTCCTGCACAAGCTCTCCGAAGGCTGGGTGTATCAAAAAGCATGTGTTATAACAAGATATGTTAACCTTAATTAGCAAAATAAGATTTGCAGAGTGGGCCCCTATTCAAGAGGATTTACTGAACTCTCATTTGATCAGAAGTGCCTATAGCAAATGAAAATTAGTAAGAGATTTCTCAACCCTGTTTCTAACTAGTTGGTTGACTAGTAGAAAGATTGATCATGGCCCAATCACATATTACAGAGTGATTCCCAGACCTCTCACTGAGAAACAGAAGTCAGAGGAAGATTCTGACTGAGTTTTATTTGAAGACACTGTACCTGTCCTGCCTTATTGTGATCCCGGCAAGCAGTGGCTGGGGGAAATTTAGTTTTCATTTCATTGTCATTTTTCAGACACCGTGGAGATGATAAGCTATAAAAACAATGCAACATTAATTATTGTTTAATACAGTGTGACATCAAGAGCAATGAGAATTTTAGAGGCAAGTATAAATATAAAAGAAAGAATAAATAAATATCTGAATAGTTTTCTTCAAAGCATCTGTATGTATAGAGTTTAAGAGCCTATACTTTATGTCAGATAAATGTGGTGTTGACCAGATTTTTTTGCTTACAAACTAACTGGCATTAGACAAGCTGGTAGTCTTGCAAAGTCTCAGTAACCAGTTCTGTGAAATGGGGATAAACGTTGTTGATTCTACAAAAATGTATTGAGTGCTTACTATGCACATTGCTCTCAACATGAGAAATGCAGTGAAGAACAGCGCGCGCGCACGCACACACACACACACACACACACAGATCCTTGTCCCCATGGAATTAACATTCTGATGGGAACACACAGCCAGCCAATAAACAAGAAAAATAAGTAAACTATATAGTATTTTTTATGGTGATAAGTGCCATGCAATGCTGGAGAAATAGAGTATTAAACCATAAATACAATGGCCTGGGAAGTTCTCACCGAGAAAGGGACATTTGAGTAAATACCTGAAGGAAATGAGAAAAAAATAATGCAGCTACCTGATGAAAAGTGCATTCTAGGCAGAGCAAATGAGTGCAAAGACCTTGAAGTAGGGGCACACTGTGTTCAGTGCAGCTAGAGGGAGATCAGAGATCAGGCAGCATCCTGCAGGCCATAACAATGCCTTTGGCTTTTGTCCTGGGTGAAAACGGGATGCCACTGAGGGTGCAATGACCAGCATCAGCAAAGCTGTTGAGAAGACAGCAGCCCCTCATATTGTAGCTACTAGGAAGGCAATTTGACGCACATCTTTTTGAGGATAATCGTAATGGGCAGCAAAGGCTTAAAAAATGGTCTCCTCCCTTATCTCTGAAATTTCACTTTAACATTTTTATCCTATCCAATACTCAATGTGTGCAAGGAATTATGTGTAATTATATTTATCACAACATTATTTTAAAAAACTAAAACTCATCTAAATATCCATTAGGAGATTGGTTAAACAAAGGTGTAATCAATGAGATGATATGCAATCATTTGTTCATGTTTTAGAATATTTAAAGCCATGGGCGTCTTCACTACTTACTGTTCGGTGTATCAAAGTGTTACAAGTGTTCAGATTATCTCAGTTTTATTTAAAATGTGTATATATGCTGCAAATATAAATATATGTATATAATGGATATAAATTAAAATGAAAACTATAGTGGAATTGTGGGTGATTATTTAGCTCTCTTTTCTCATTTCTTTTTCAAAAATGTTATGATAAACATGTGTTACTTTAATAATCAGCACAAAAGACATTTGTTGGTCAACTTCTATGGGAAACCTTCACTAACAATCCCTAACAATTACTTTCCCCTCTGCAGTCTCTGTACTTGTTGGTTGTCTTCATCGCATATATTATTTCTTTGGTATCTAAGTAGGTTTGTATGTCTTTCATATGTCATATATCTCTGTATCTTCAGCGACTAGAAACTGCCTGGCACATGATAAAGCTCAGTGTTTTTTGGATTGAACTAAATTACAAAGTACTAGACATTGAACTTTCAATTATATTTCATAACAGTGAGATTATCCCACACAAGCATGCTAGGGTTTTGAACATGACTTTAATAACCCAGAAAGTACATACATTGCACACATGATAGCTGATACATTGTGACACATTCATAAATTGAAAGCTGACAGCACAGTACAAGGCACATACGTACTCAATAAATCCTTGGATATGATTGACTGATTTGAGATCTTAAAAAGAATCCTACTCAAAGGAAGAAGGAGAAAATAGAAAATTTTTGACAGAAGAAAAAGACACAGCCATCCTAAGTTGCAATACATTCATTCATTCACTCAAAAAACATGATTACTGAGTGCCAGCCACGTATGGCAAAACTGCTTTCCAATTTGATCTAAATGTGAAATGGTGTCATGGCATAATATCCAAGAGCTCAGAAAACAACAAGGGAAGTTTTCACAAATCCACCAAGAAAGTTAGATGTTCCCTCCTCTGTGCTATTTTGTTTCCACTTATGTCATAGCATTTAACCTACTGAATGTATTGCTCTTTGTATGTCTGTCTGTCTTTCCCACTAGATCATGAGCGCTGATTGTCTCTATTATCCCCATTACCTAGTATATAAATTGTACTCAAGAATACTGGATGAAGGAATGAATGAATACTTACTTAAGTTCCCTGCATCAAGAACAGACTCAATGCCTTGGCCAGTTTTGCTCAATGCTTAGAGCCTTGGCCTGTGGACCAAGGGGTCACAGGTTCAATTTATGGTCAAGGGTGGGTACCTGGGTTGCAGGTTCGATCCCCACCCAGGTCAGGGTCATGCAGGAGGCAATCAATCAATGTGTCTCTCTGACATCGATGTTTTTTTCTCTCTACCCCCCCCCCCCCCTTTCTTCCTCTCCCACTGTAAAAAAGGAAAATGGAAAAATATCCTCCAGGGAGAATTAACCAAAAAGAGAAAAGAAAAGACTCAAAACTATATTTAGTAAAGTGTAACAGAAAAAATGTCAATGCATTACCTTTTGGGTTTCATATTCTTCCCCCAACTCCCACTCTGCTCAAACCTGTTTGGCAAGTTGACCCCTTTCTCTTTGCCAGAGGGGATAGCTTTTCTATCTGGAAGTTTCTTCGGTGACAACCTCTCTGTAGAATGAATAAAAGTAAGTTTTCCTTTCTACTTTAAATGGGTGGTTTGTACTTAACACAGATTTTTAAACTTATAATTTTACCAGGGAAAATTTTCACATGAGATACACTTTATCTTTAATACATTTTATCTTTAAATTATTGTCCCTTGCCCTAGTGTGGTTTAAAAATACCGGGTAGGGCAAAAGTAAGTTTACAGTTGTGAGTACATGAAACACAGAGTTTATTCTTGTATTATTATTAATTATTATATTAGTTTCCATACAAACAACTGTAAACCTACTTTTGCCCCACCTGGTATACATTTTTTCTGTATACTTATTACATGCAAAGAACTGACTGGGCACTTTAGAAACTACTAGGAGTCAAGTCTTCACCCTTAAAGATCTTTCAATAAGTAGTTGGAGAAAAAAAGTAAGATACAAACACAAGATATAAGAACTCCCATTTGTGGAGGCCTTACTACAAGCCAACAGTGCTGAGAGCTTTATATACATTGCGTAAATAGCTACTCAGGACAATGAAGCAAACTGTCTAAATCCCAAACAAATAGTGCAGTCTTTAAGGTCTGACATGTTCAGGGAAGAGAGAAGCTACTTCAGAACCAGCGATGAGAGAAGTGTTCATGGGGCACAGGAGATGTGAAAAGTGTGCTAAGAGGTATATAGGATTGGGATGTGTTGTAAGATAAGGAAGGACATTCAAGGCAGGGGGAAAAGTGAACAAAAGCATGACATCAGGGGAGGGTAAGGCATGTTAGAAGAACATGACTAGACAATGTTGCTCAAAGGAGTCTGTTGGGAACAGTGGCAGATGAGGCTAAGAAATGGAAGCATGTGAATATTAGGCTAAGGGTTTATATGTTATCCTGTGGGCCACGTTACAAAGCCAGCATCTCCAAGCCAATGTTCACCCATTGATATGGGTTTTTTGGGTCCAATCAGCCTTTTTTGTTTCAATGTCAATTCGTTGTCAACATTTAAAATCAATAGATTTTAGGATCTCTGCTTCTCTTGAAAACTCAGAAAATTTGATGACACTTTCCACAAATCAACAATCTGATAAAGGAATGGTCCTCTATCATCTGGCAACCCCTGTGGATCCCTAGGACCCTTTTGAAAAGCCTTTGAAGTTCTAGTTTTTTGTTTTTTTTTTCATATGTTTCAACCAAAACAATGCATCACAACAGATTAAATGAAGGCACAGATATGAGAATCCACTATCTTCTATTCGGCCAGATATGAAAGATATAAAATTGCCATTCTTCATTTTTCATAAAAACTATTATTGATGCTAACATGTCTCCCTATCACGTTGTATCCATCCCACTTGATGCATTTATGTTACCTGCCTGGACCCTGTAGGCATCTGAGTTTTGACCCCTGTAAGCAATGGGGAGCCAGCAAAGAGATCATAGTCTAAGAGCCTGAGCCATAAAGTGCTTAAAATAAGATACGGATTCTAGGAATAAGAGATGTTTGAGAGAAGAAGACCGTGATTATTCATGAATCTAACTTCATTTGCTTTTGGAATAAGAGTTTCTAAGCAATATGGTTGGGCTCATTAAACAGTAAAAAGTGACAGATTAGACCACTGGCGTACCTCTGATGCCTTCTTTGTCTGTCCAGTTTTTTAACTTGCATGTCCTTGGTTTATTCTTCCCACCTTCTTCTACAATGGTCTCCATGGGTGGTTTGTTCTCCATCTCCTTGAGCTCAAGCCTAGGAATAAGCCAAGATGTTTGTCCACCTGGACCTGGAGAGGTAACTGTGTGGATCCTCAATTCTGAGAAGCAACCCAGCTAGCTTGCTGATTCTGAAATAAGCCCACTGCTCTCAAGGGGGTGAATGCTTTGGTTTGCTGAGTACAAATCAACTGCTCACTCTCTTTGAAGCTAAGTCTGAGAGCTGACCAGAACCTTCCCCCTCCACACTGAGGGCTCAAAATCAACTCTTATATAAATAAGTAGCTTTAAAGGCCTGGATTTACATTTTTGGTTTTGGTTTCAGTTTGAATTTGTCTGTCTTTACCAGTTCTGTAACCAGATGTCATAGGGATGATACAGTACAAGCTTGAAGGCAAGGATTCATGGCCTGGTAGGCAGAGTATGCCCAGAAATAACCATTACACCCCACCTTCTTTCTCCTCCCCATTTCTCCATCCTTTCACCGGGCAAAACTGAGGGACCTGCAAAGGCACAATGGGAGAAGGAGTCTGTTCAGTTTGTGTGAGTAGTTATAGATTTTCTTTGGTCTCAAGTGCAGAGTGTTGGGTTCAAGTCTGAGTAAATTTACCTCCAGTACATTCAGAGGCCAAACTTCAGGTCAATCAAACACCTATAATTATTGTGAGTATTTGTGTCCTTGTGTCCATTTCTAGGATTTCTAATTGCCCTTGACTCAATGATTTCCCTCCTGGAATGCGTCAGCCAAAATACCTCCAAGGGGACCCGAATTTGCCTTCCAAAATATAGACATAAAGTGACTTGGAACCCATTGACTTATTTTTAATGAGTAGGGCAATGCGGTGCAGTAGAAACAACACGGGGACAGTCAGGAGCCAGGCTTTATGTCTGGCATGGGCCCTGATTAGTTGTGTGGCCATTTCGTCTGCAAGACGAGGGGCTGACTAACGAATCTCTAAGGCCCGCTCTGGCCTGCACACTGCTTTTCTGAGTGTGTGTCACACAGTCCTGCCAAGAGGGAGCTGTTCCAAACCAAGAAACACATGTCACAGACTCGATGAAACACGAGAAAATAATATTCTGGGAAGCTGGTTGTTATTCCCCAAACTTTCTCCACCTGAAATGCACAGTAGTTAATAGCAGAGATATTAAGAACACGATTAAGAGCACACAATGAGTGAGCGATGGCCAGAATGGAAATAAAACCCAAGTCTCCTGACTCTCACTCCAGTGTTCTCAATATGTTCCACTTATTTAAAAAATTAAATAAAATTGTAATTAATTTTTGACCTCTATAGAATGGGTGAAATTATAATATATATCTGAAATAGTTGAAATGGAGATGAAATACAATAATATTTAGAAAGTGCTTTATAGTACCTGGCATCTAGTAAGGGCTTCATAGATGATAACTAGTACTATTATTCATTATTATTATCATTATATAATCATTGTCAGCAGCAGCCACCACAACACCTACCCCACTGCCATCTTGGGGTAAGGCTCTTACAAAAAGGAGCATGAGCTACGAAAGGTGGAGCATCACCGCCCAGTGAAAACAGCAGAGCTGCAAGGAAGCTGGTACCTGGAGGAGCCGAGGACCAAAGCACTGACCTCGGAAATGCAAGCACATTGTTAGGCTGCTCCCTGGGGTTCTCCCTGCTGGACAACACTGAGTCCACAGTGCCAGGCCGCTGGAAGACAGGGACAGAGAAGGGTTACACCGGAGCTGTGGAGCAGGACACAGACCAGTCAAAACTACAGGGTCTCTCAGGCAAGGCTGCCATGATCCTCTTTCCTGTTATTTTCATTTAGTGCTCAAAGTCTAGAGCTTAAAATCCAACGAGGAATGATCTCAGTTATCAAAATTGCCACCCTGGGGAGTCACATAACAACTGCAGCGAGGCTGCCTTTTCTCAAGCCCTTTCCTCTTTGGAAACTGCCTTCAGAGGGGTGGCTTCTTTGACACATCTTTCAGAGGACAGCCGATTATTAAAACTCTCAGGAAAATGAACAAAGGACTAATTCCACTCTTGACCCAGCTAACTCTAAAACTGGGCTATGGGTTTTAAAAGAAGAGTTTGGCCCTGGCCGATTTGGCTCAGCGGTTAGAGCGTCCGCCTGCGGTCCAGAGAGACCCGGGTTCGGTTCCCGCTAAGGGCATGTACCTCGGTTGCAGTTTGTCCCCGGCCCTGGTTGGTCGTGCGGGTGGCAGCCACTCGATGTGTCCCTTTCACATCGATGTTTCCCTCTCCTCTCTCTCTCTTCCTCTCTCTCCCTCCCACTCTATCTGTACAAAAAATGGAAAAATCTCCTCGGGTGAGGATAAAAAAATAAAAATAAAAAATAAAATAAAAAAAAAATAAAAGAAGAGTTTGGATTCAGGGGGAGTCATATTCAAACCCCCACACTGCTAACAGCTATGTAGCCCTAGACCCCAGATATCTGGGGATAATAATTGGGCCTAATTTATAGGATTTTTATGAAGTACTCTATGGAAGTGACCAGCACAGAGTAAGCACTCAACAAACAGCAGCTATTACAATTCTCCTTACATTATAAAATGATCACAGTATTACATTATACTAGTATAAAGTTATTCTTTCAGAATGATGATATAACTCACAACAGGCTTTGAAGGAATTCCCAGAAAGAGGTTTTTTAAATGTTATAAGCAAAAGCAACATCCCTGAAATAAGCAGACAGCTGACTCCCAAGGGAGCTACCAGAAGGCTAGTGCTCGGGTTCAGGAATAGGACATTTGGGGGAAAATAATCGCTCCCACCACTTTACAGTAGTTTCCCAGTGTGTGTTTTAAAGATGTTAACGAGTATTGGATTCACCTAAAGTTCCATGATTAAAGACATTCAGACAGGTCAAGAGGCTTCCTTCCAGCCAGACCTCTCAGATCCTATACCGTGCTCTGGCCATGAGGGGATACGTGCCGCAGCTCCCCATCCGCTGTGGCCTCCGAACCCTTTCTCAGAGAATGTCTCTCAGGACTCGTTCTTTAAGAAAACGCCCCTTAAAAAGTACATCTGAGAGTGCGGCAGGCCAATTAAAACGTGATCCTCTCCGTTACGCATCTATGGAGGCTACCGCGTTCTGTAGAACCCCTGAAGGTTGGAGATGGGCCAGTGCTTTGGCTTTGCTTCTGATTTTGCAGGTCCTGCCTTGTATGTTCATGGAAAAGAGAGGGTGGTAGCTGTGTGTGTTTCCACTTTCCACACACAGGCGTGGCATCCCTCTTAACAATCCGTGTGAAGCCAGATTGTGGAAAGACACTGAAGCCTCAACTACGCACAACTCCGGCTCCTAACCCTGCATTCCTGAGCGTCATGAAAGCAGCAAGTAAAGGGCAGATTTAGACCGTATTTATAGCCTTTCATTTTATAGACTTTTCCATTTAAAAGTCAGGCTTTTGCTCTAGGCAGACGCAGGATTATATAATATTTGCGATGATCCAATTCATTCACAAGAAATATGTCAGTTCCCAGAGGTGCCCCTAAAGCACTAAGCATTCAATTAGTCCTGTGGATTGACTATTTCGCTGCCTCCTGAAACCCTATACACAGCTCAACGTGAGGGCCACACCAGCACTTCATGGTGAACCATGATGGGGTCAACTATAAAATTTCTTCGCCAACATGGCAAATTAAAAGCTAAAGTTCCATCTGTATGACTCGAATTAGATTTCATTGTAGAGATTCATTAAAATAAAATAGTATAACCAGGAAAAAGAGTGATTAGAAAGTCTGGGCTTAAATTTCGTTCTACCACTTATCAGCAACCCGCCTTCAAGCTTCCCAAGCGACCTCTCAGCTCTCATTTTTCTCATTTGTAAAATCAGGATAGTGATTAATGCTGGTTTTATAACATTTTGGGACTCAAAATAACATATGTGGGAAAACTTTTTAAGCTATAAGATACCATAAAACATTCAGAATTGTAAGAGTTTTTTTATCCTATTTATATTTTTAGATAGTATTGACTCAAAACTTGGTTTCAAGTTATTTCACCCTTCTAACCTTTTTGTCAGAGTTATCATCTATACATAAGCACTTTTTTGTACTTGAAGTAATTGCCATTTAAAATATGTCAACCTGGATTTCCCCTAATGATGACACCCTTACGGGTGATTCAGAGCTATGCGGGGGAGAGGGTTGGGTGAAGAGAAATCTCCATTTACATTTGCTAGGGCTTTTGCCAGAGCCCCACTTCCATCCATTGTGCAAAGAAAGTCCCTGAAAAACCTCATCTTCACCCTGCCGTCTCTGATCACCAGGACCCCGATTCCTTTGAACGTAAACTCCACGTTTTGTTTGATGGAAATAGATCGTGACAAAAAAAGCAGCGTCTCCTTCACACATCCTTCCACTGTATCCCTGTGAAACAAACTCTCCAGGGAGATCACGACAAAATTAAGTGGAATAATTGGGATATCACCTAGAGAAGAAAAAGACAATTGGGGTGGAGGAAAGGAAGTGGAAATTACAACAAGGACACATGACATACACTTACAAATAATCTTCTGATTCTCAATGCTCAAAAACAGAATTGTCAATGTTCACAGAATTGTGAAGCATTTGGTTGTACCCAATGTAACATTATTCCTACAACTAACAACTCGTTACTAATAGATATTAATCGGGCCCTGGCTGGTTTGGCTCAGAGGTTGGAGCATCGGCTTGCGGACCAGAGTGTCCTGGAGTTTCCACTAGGGGCACATACCAAAAAAAAAAAAATAGATATTAATCGGTACAATTTCCCCTTTTTTTAAAATCCTCATCTGAGGACACTTTTGCATTTATCCTGAGATAGACAATGAGGGAGAGAGGAAGGAAGAGAGAGAGAGAGAAACATCCTTGTGAGAGAGACACAGAGTGGTTGCCACCCACACGGTCCAACCAAGCCTGGGACAAACCGCAACCGACGTACATGCCTTTAACAGGAACTGAACCTGGGACTCTCTGGTTTGCCGGCCAACGCTCTAACTGCTGAGCCAAACCGACCAGAGCCAATTTCCCTTAAAATGTAATCTTTTTTGCTCAAAATAAGAACAATTAGCTTTCTAAACAATACTCCAGAAACATTTTAGATTTTATCTGGGAGATACAGTAATAAATGTTTCTCATCATCAGAGGATTTTCTGAATTTTTCAGCCTCCTTATCTTTTAGAACATGCTACAGCAATATGTGTCTCTCCCCTCCCATTATCATACGATTTTAGACATCTTTTTTTTTCTTTACTGATTTTAGAGAGAGAGGAAGGGAGAGACATAGCAAAAACATGTCCAAAAGCAAACCCATTATTATATTTGCCACCACAACCTGCCTTTCCTGCTCCATGTCCTATGGCAGTTGATGGCATGAGTATCCATCTATTCTCCAAGAAATCTGAGTCATCCTAAATACCTTGCTATCTATTGCTACCCAATACTCCAATTGGTAACTGAATCTCATCAGTTTTACATCTGAAATGTCTCATGAATAGATTCCCTCATCTCCCCGACTGCCACTGCCTTCTCTCAGACTTTTACCATATTTCACTAAACTGCAATTAAAAAACCTATCTTCCTAAACTATAAACTGGACCAATCCAAATAATCGCCTGCTCAAACACTTCCAATGGCTCCTCAATGCCTACAGGATGAATTCCAAAGTCCTTCTCACACCATTCAAGGCCCCTCAACATTTGATGCCCACCGACCACTTTTGTTTTACCTCCCTCCACTTGCCTCCACAATCATATGCCCTGGTCACAAGGACACCTAAACAGGTTTAACTTTCCCCCTTATTCTTGAATCGTCCAGACTGTTCCTGAAATATCTTCCACAGCTTCTCTACCAACAAAGTCTAGTCGTCCTTTAAGATCTCCTCCTATGTCTTCTTCCTAAACCTCCCCAAGCAGAGTTAGGCAATGACCAATGCTGCACGTAACCATTTTGCACCATTTGCTTCTATCTCTCTCTCTCCATGCTGGATTCTGAGTTATTCAAAGCACGGACCATGTATTAATAATAATTTTTAAGAATCAATAATGTTTGATTAGAAACATAGTTAATTAATAATGAAGAATCATAACCCCAAAGCTAAACTGTGGACAGAATTGTTTTTATGAACTAATTCAGTCATACACGTTTAATTCTGAAATTTCCTCAACCTTGTGAAGATAATTATAGACCTAACCTACTTTTTTGGAGTACATTAGACACAAGCTGGAAAATAAGCTCTAATTCTAAGGCACAAATGTTTTTGCAAAAAAAAAAAAGAAGAAGAAAATTGGCTTTATTATTATTTCACTTTGTAGGCTTTTGATGAATTAAGATATTTCTTCTGTCATAAAACTGCAGGTGAAAATGGCTGAAACTATCAAACTCATCGGACTGAATATATGCACAATGAATTCTAAGTATAGTGTATGTTTTTTCAATATATAATTTTTTTTGGTGGAAAATTACTCTGAAATTTTTCAGGAACTTAACCTAAAGGTAAGTTTCAGTGTTTCGCCTGCCGACATCGTTGGTAGGCGGTCTCTCGTCATCCGCATATAGTCTGAAGCGGAAGGGGGTGATCAGAAGGGTCAAAAGAAACACAACCAGAAATCGGGGAGGAGAGCCCAAGGCCTGGAAGCAGCCAGGGCAGGTTCACCAAGTGCACGCAGCTGGCGTGTAAGTGTCCTGTGGCAAGCAGCGCGTCCGTTTTGTTGCCCACTAGACCTCAAGCACCTGGAACCAGGCCTCACACAGAGTTGGCCCTCAGTAAATATTAGCAGAAGGAAGGAAGAAGGGAAAGAAGAAGGGAAGGGAGGGAGGGACCGGGGAAGACTTTAGGGTGTGAGACATATACAAAGTATTCATTAACTTCTACTTCCAGGTGATTCTGGGAGGACATGCATGAAAGGGAACAGTGAAAGGCGGAAGGGCTCCGGGTGGAAAAGCAACAGGAGAGAGCGGAGGCGGAGCTCTGCTTTGAGAAAGCACTGAGCCAAGGCAGGGCTGCAGCTGGCTCACTGAGAAGTCCGAGAAGGGGCCTTGCAGACAGGACGGGGGCAAGCCGGGGATGAGCTGTCACTGCCCACTGCTACCAGGGTTGCTAGGCTCACGGGGACCCTTAGAGTTTAGGAGAGAAAAGTACGATGCACGCCTGAGAGGGAAGAAAGCCCCTACCTCTTTAACTCTTTATGGAATTATTAACTTTCTAAATTTCACATTTTACTCATTTAGATTATGTATATAATAGATACACAATTAGTGATCTTTTTCACAACCGATACTCCCAACCAGAGACCCTAATTACCTCACTCTACTTTGTAACCATTGTTAATTTTCTAGGGTTCTGAAATATAAGTAAAGCCTGAATCACACTGTGACATAGCTTTTATATAAATTCACCTTAATGTCACACCGGGTCTTCTCAAGCCTGCCTCCTTAAACTACCGAGGTTTAACATGGCCTGCAGGAAGACTGGGTATAAGTTTCTACCTTAGCCCCTCCCTCTGCCAAAGGTACCACGTGAAAAGTGAACACCAGCTGACCACGCTTTGCCCTTTCATTTTCATCCCCAGCCCAGTCACCCTGTGGGAAAATCTTAAATATTATATATATTTACCAGGAGTAAACACTTTGTTTTGTTTGAGTCCATGGAGCTGTACCAACTTTTCCGCCATGATAAAGACAGGCCTCTGAAACAGAATGAACCTGCTGTTTCCCACTTCAATTTTTTGTCTCATGAAAGTGAAAGTTCCAAGTCCTGGAATCTGAACCCCCTGTAAGGAAAAAGAGGGGGGAAAATAGCAACAATTCACTGAAGGAGTGAAGAAATATAATCCTTAGTACTGTTACCCAAAAAACATGAAGAGAAGTAACCTTAGCCCTTAAAGATTCAATGATCCTACAATCCTTTACAGCTACAGCATTTAGTAACTCTACATTTTCAATAAAATGTAATACATCAATCCATGATGCTTTTCTGCCAGCAGAAACCTTACCTCCATGTCATTCAGAAGCTGTGAGGACTAAGAAAACTTGTATGGATGTTATCACCACTCTTAATCTATATCTAAGATTACTCTAGTCCTAAACTGTGGGACATTTTTTAATATATGTTTTTATTAATTTTTTAGAGAGAGAAAGGGAGAGAGAGATAGAAACACTGATGTGAGAGGGAAACATCAATCGGCTGCCTCCTGCACACTCCCCTACTGGGGATGGAGCCCACAACCGTCAACCCAGGCATGTGCGCTGACCGGGAATCAAACCTCTCAGTCCATGTGGCAACACTCAATCTACTGAGCCACACCGGTCAGGCAACAGTGGGACATTTTAAATTTTAATCACTTGCCATTGGAGGGAGAGAATTTAAGGGTCATAAGAATTTCTGCTTTCCTGGTCCTTCTTTCAAATGTTCTGTCCCTTACTTGAAATCAGACAACCCACCACCCATGGCACACGCTGCAGGGTGGTGATCTCTGCCGATGGAGAGAAACAAGTACTTTGGGCTCTTAAACTGGGTCTCTGTCTCTCTGGAAATATCATACGTCAAGGTTTACAAACTCAAATGCCTACAGGGGCCAAGAAAGGATGCAAGTGAAGGAGTGGAGGTGTGCAGTCAGAGAATGTGATGGCCAGAGAGTGCATGCCCATCGAAAGGGGAAGCCCATTGCCAGCTCCAGCCAAGTGTCACACACACACAAATGAAAACTGGTAATGTCAAGTCTGATTTTTTGGAAAAAAAAAAAAATCCAAAACTTAATATAAATTCTCTCAGTTGTAAGTGGTAATGTCTAATTCAAATGATCAGACCAAACAAAATTGGTTTGAAGGATGAATTCAGCCCACGGGCTGTCATATTGGGACCTCTGGGTAGGGTATAAAAGTCCCACAACCTCCCAGCTCCCTCCAATCTTCACAAATCTCTGTCAGGAGGAAATAGTCCAGCCCTGAGAAAAGTTTCTCATTTTTGGCAAGTTGAGTTCAGTCCCTAACTGTCTTCTTATATTTCAATTAAAATCCATTCCCTAGAAAGAGACAAGACAAGAAGCATTACATTCTTCTTGAGCTAAGCCAGGAACTGTCAAATCACAGAAAAGCAGAATTCATCTAGTTGCTCTCCACACACACAAGCTGATCAGTGATATACTATGTATTCTAGAAGAGCAGAACTTACAAATGTCTACAAGTCGTAAGTATGAGCATCATAAAATCACAGGACGGAAAGTTAAACTGGGTGGCTCTGAAGTCAGCTTCCTGATCCCAGCAAAATTATATGAGACTAAAGTGGAAAGATTCTTTGGACTCCTACATTAAAAGTAAAATATGAATCCTACCTTGTGTAGGGATAGCTGCCGTTCTATAAATGCTGATACATGCTCCCAAATATTACAGACTTCTGCAATTCAAAAGAAACCAAAAATAATTTATTTAAGTACCTATATGTTAGTATCTTAGTGCTAATAAATAAAAGTAAATATTAAATGCAGAATCAAATAGCCATAACTCCCAGTTAATTATAATTAAAAAAATAATAATTATAATAAATTTCTGAAGAAAATCTTTCTAGAATAAAGGGAACTCTGTCACACATTTCTACTTATGCTATAAAATTAACCAAGTATAATCTACCCTTTTCTTGATGACCCATTCCACAAACAATTGTCTACTCTGTGCCATCTAATTGATGTGAACATCATTCTTATACCATTCTACAACACAGGAACAAAGCCAAGAGCCACTGTGCTGACTGGGTAGCTCAGGTGGTTAGAGCGTCATCCTGATATGCCAAGTTCAGGTTCGATCCCTGGTCAGGGCACAGATAAGAATTAACCAATGAGCCCGGCTGGTGTGGCTCAGCAGTTGAGTGTCAACCCATACAACAAAAGGTCGCCGGTTCCATTCCTGGTCAGGATACATGCCCAGGTTGTGGGCCCGATCTCATTGATGTTTCTATCTCTCTCTCTTTCTCCCTTTCTTTCTCTCTAAAATCAATAAAGGGGAAAAAAAATAAACAATCAACCAATGAGTGCATAAAAAAGTGGAACAACAAATCAATGTTTCTCTCTCTTAAATCAATAAATAAAAATAAACGAATAAAGCCAAGGGCTACTAAGGCATGAAAGGCTGTTGTCTGTACATTAACTTTCTATACTTTTATTTTTGCTTAAGTCTTGACTCTGCTCTTCATTCTCATTCGTCTCCATGAGACTACCAGCTGTCCCTTCTCTACTACCAGCCCTCTGCAGCTCCCCTGCCCAGTCCTAATTCACTGCTTCTGTTCGGCTGTGTTCTTGATGTCAACAAATATATTAATATTATGGCTAAAATAATAATTTTTAAAACCAGATCTTTGGGTAGGATTGCTTAGGGCTTTGGCTTTATTTTGAATCGGTGCATAGTCTTTGCACTGCCTGCTTTGAATGATCAGAGGGAGGCCTTCTCTGTTTATGTTCTTGATCTGAGCTGTGTTTGAAAAACACTCTGGTAGAAAAATGAGTTGTTGCCAATAACTAAAGTGTTGATGTATGATATGAAGCTATATGCTAGATGTAACTAACATTTGGAATACAGAACATTATGTCTGTGTTGACATCTCCATTCCAAACCTAATCATGTATATTAAAGATACTTTTCAATCAGGAACTCTTTGCAAATCAAGAGTATGTTTTGACTTCCGGTCAAGATGGCGGATAGGTAAACGCGGTATCGTGTCCTCCCACAACCACATCAAAGTTACAACTAAACTACAGAACAACCATCATTCAAAACCACCTGAAATCAAGCTGAATGGAAGTCCTACAACTATGGAATTAAAGCAGCAGCCACATCGAGACTGGTAGGAGGGGCGGAGGCGCGAGGGGCAGCGGCAGCGGCGCAACGGGTTGGTCCCACACCCACGTGTGGCGGATAAAAATCAGGAGGACACCTCGGCTGGGAAGGTCCTCTCTGAGGATTGAGGGGTCCCGATCCCACACCAGGTGCCCCGCTCAGGGTTCCAGTGCCAGGAAGAGAGTCCCCATAACTTCTGGCTGGAAAAACCAGCGGGAACTGAGGCTCAGGGAGGCTGAGGCGGCTGGAGCCCCAGGCAGCTCCTTAAAGGGCCCGCGCACGGACTTATCGGACTCTCTCCCTCTAGGCTTGGAGGGGAGGCAGCTCGAGGGGCACCAGAGACATACAGGGAAGAACTGAGCTGTTTGGCACTGGAGCGAGGGCTGGAGATGGGGCTTTCTCGGGGACAAACGTGCTGTAAGAGGCCTTTGTTACTTTGGTGAGCCCTTCCCTGGGGCCGCAGACAGCCGCCATATCTGAGACTCCAGCAACCTGGCTCACACTGGTAGCCCCGCCCTGGTGATTCCCTGAGGCCCTGCCCCACCCAACGTTCAGGTCCAACCAAGCTGTTGCCAGTTGCTTAACCATAGGATTGGCCTATCTTGGATCCTGCTTCAGGTTTTTCCTAAATTCTTTCAAACAAGCAGCATCTGGTCTCAGCTAGCCCCATACGGCTCGTTAAGTAATACACAGAAACAAACACAGGGAGGCAGCCAAAATGAGGAGACAAAGAAACAGGTCCCAAACGAAAGAACAGAACAAAACCCCAATAAAAGAACTAAGCGAAATGGAGATAAGCAACCTAACAGATGCTGAGTTCAAAATACTGCTTATAAGGATGCTCAATGAACTTAGTGAGAACCTCAGTGAACTTAGGGAGGGCCTCAAGAGCATAAAAAAGGACCAGTCAGAAATCATAGATGCACAGTTAGAATTGATGGAGGCATTAACTGAAATAAAGAATAATTTACACAGCTTCAATAATAGAGTACGTAAATCCAAGGAGCAAACCATCGATTTGGAATATAAGGAAGCAAAAAATGCCCAAACAGAACTGCAAAAAGAAAAAAGAATCCAAAGAAATGAGGAGAGTGTAAGGAGCCTCTGGGACAACTTCAAGCGTGCCAACATTCGCATCTTGGGAGTGCCAGAAGGAGAAGAGCGAGAACAAGAAATCGAAAACCTGTTTGAAACAATATTGGCAGAAAACTTTCCTAACTTGGTGAAGGAAACAGACATACAAGTCCAGGAAGCACAGAAAGTCCCAAACAAGATGAACCCCAAGAGGCCCACACCAAGACACATCATCATCAAAATGCAAAAGGTTCAAGACAAAGAGAGAATCTTAAAAGCAGCAAGAGAAAGGCAGCTAGTTACCTACAAGGGACTTCCCATAAGGCTGTCAGCTGATTTCTCAAAAGAAACTTTGAAGGCCAGAAGGGAGTGGCAAGAAATATTCAGAGTGATGAAAAGGAAGAACCTACAACCAAGATGACTCTATCCTGCAAAGCTGTCATTTAGAATCGATGGCCAGATAAAGACTTTCCCAGACAAGAAAATGTTAAAGGAGTTCATCACTACCAAACCGTTATTATATGAAATGATGAAGGGTCTTTTGAAGAAAAAGATAAAATGTATGAACAAACAAAATGGCAATGAATACATATCTATCGACAATGGAATCTACAAACAAAATGAACAGGTAGAACAGAAACATTCTCATAGATACAGAGAACATTGTTGGTTGCAAGATGGGAGCGGGGTTGGGGGAATGGGTGAAAAAGGTGAAGGGATTAAGAAGTACAAATTCATTGCTAGACCGACGAACCTCAAAGGGAAAGGGGTTGGGGGGTGGGAAGAAATAAACCAAAGAACTTATATACATAACCAATGGACACAGACAATAGTGTGGGAAAAGGCGGGAGTGGGGCGGGAGTGGGGAGGAGGGGGTCAATTGGGGAAAAATGTGGAATATCTGTAATACATTTTACATTCAACAATAAAGATTAAAAAAAAAAACCAACTGGTTACAATGTCCAGATCTTATTTGGATCCTATTTCAAACAATAAACTATAGCCCTGGCCGGTTTGGCTCAGTGGTTAGAGCGTCCGCCTGCAGTCCGGAGAGGCCCGGGTTCGGTTCCCGCTAAGGGCATGTACCTCGGTTGCAGTTTGTCCCCGGCCCTGGTTGGTCGTGCGGGTGGCAGCCACTCGATGTGTCCCTTTCACATCGATGTTTCCCTCTCTCTCTCTTCCTCTCTCTCCCTCCCACTCTGTCTGTACAAAAAATGGAAAAATGTCCTCGGATGAGGATTAAAAACAAAACAAAAAAAAAACAATAAACTATAAAAAAAATATATATTCATGAGATAATTGGAATAATTTCAACATTGGACATTTATGATATTAAAAATTATTTTCTGAGATTAAAAAAAAAAAGAGTATGTTTTAATTCTCAAATTGAAGATCAAGAACAGTGACATTTACCAGATTGCCACTTTGGGACAGAGATGCAATTGGTGGCAACAAAAGACCAATTTTTTTCCCCACTTTGGAAACTGCTTGGTTTATTGGTATCACTTTTTTTTCCCTGGTGGTTTAAACCACTACCTAAACCAGGGAAATTGTAGTCTTTAATTCCAGGATATCGGGGTTATACATATTTTTATTCATGTGCCAGAGAAGAAGCAGGTTAGGCCATGAGAAGTAGCAGTGACTCTCATGGGCATCTGAGAACAACTTGGGTGATGGAAACTCATTCACTCACCAAGGAAACGAGGGCTACACGCTTCATCGAGCTGAATGTCAAGATTCTGCCCTTTGCTCTGCACCATGGATACACAGTTTACTGTAGTCAGGTATTTCCTCTCTTCTTCCCACCCTATTGCTTTCCCCACTCCTCCCCATCGCCATGGAAAAAATAATTTTACTATTGGCTACTAAGAACCAAAGTCTTTTACCCAGTCCCAACTGTATACTGAATTAAAATCATCATGACCAAAAACATCATTAATTCATTAATGATGCAGAAACTCAGTATCCAGAGTTACACGGAGACCTTTCGAACTATAAAGTCAAAACTGTCAAGTCTTTCACCTAGACTTCTGATACGCAGCTCAAATTTCAGGAAAACAATCTACAGCAAAAGGAAATGATTTAATTAGGGTCAGGAGAAACGATATAGCCTGTAACCAAACCCTAGTGAAAAGACTTGACTGAGTTTAATTGGAAATTGGAGGATAGGCTCGCTTCATTTGGATGATACACTTGAGTCCACCGTGTTGCTTTACACTATAAAACCTCATAGGCAAGGTTACATAGGAGCAGAGTTTATTATTCTAAGCTGAAATTTGCTATTTCTCATTGAAGAAAAAGAAAAACAGGCAAATCATCCCTCTTAGATAGTTTTGGTCCCTGCAATTTAATTGGGATAGATTTGGAAATTTTACAGACTATGAGTTCTGATTTTTCTGGCATCCCAAAGTATCACAGAAGGCATCACTAAAGCTCAAAACAAAAAGCATTCTTCCAAACACCCAGTTTTTTTTATGATCATCTCACTTTCTTTACACAACCCCAAGACATCAAGGGCAACAAAAGTAGCTGTGTTTTTGCATGAACTCTGAGAAAGATCCGTTTTGGGGTGGTTGTTATAAGTCAAAATTTATTGAGCAATTACTTTGTGCTAGTCCTGGAGCTAAGTGCTGTATATATGTTATCTTGTTTAATCAAAGCCCTTAGCTGGCCCTTGCCCCTTATTTATTTATTTTTTTTAAAGCTTCTTTTTCTTATTGATTTTAGAGAGAGAGGAAGGGAGAGGGAGAGATAGAAACATCAATGAGAGAGAACATCGATTGGCCACCTCCTGCATGCCCCCCACTGGAGACCTGGCCCACAACCTGGGCATGTGCCCTGACCGGAATCGAGCTGGGAACCTCTAGGTGTATGGGTCCATGCTCAACCACTGAGCCACACCGGGCCCCGCCCCTTATTATGACAATAAAATTATCTCTGGGCATCCAGCCTGAGCCTGAGGTAATTACCAGCTGGTTGCCAACGTGACACGGCCACTGCAGGTGATAGAGAAGGAAGTCTTTCACTTGGCCCCCAACAAGCAGATAAAGGTTCAGTCCTGGGGCCCCCATCTCAAGTCGCTTACCCTCCTGACTCAGCGAGGGCAGTGTGGGCAACACATTCTTGCCCAGGTCCTGCAGCGAAGGGATGATGGTGTCCAGCATCTCCAGGCCCCAGTCGGCTCTTGCTGGGTCCTCAACGGTTTTTTTTCTTCCTCCCTTATCTGGAATTTATACAAGTGATTTCACCACCCTCCAGTCCCCTCTCACTGGGACTTTGACCCTTAAATTTAAAAATTACCAAATATTGACAAAGTTTCTTAAACGTTTTTTTCCCACTGTGCCTCCCCCTGCTCTGGCTCTCCCTGAGCGCCTTCCACCTCTGGAAACCTGAGAGCTCAAGGGCACCAGAACCAGACTGTCTCATCCAAGCACTGTGCACCCCGAGAGAGAGGCGGGGTGAGAAGTGAGCGGCAAGGAGGGACAGGCCGCAGGTAGGCCCCAGGGGTGGGAGGGGCGCGTTGCTCGGATGCAACAAAGGGTCGTCCCGTTGCTAGGGCCTCGGCCCCGCCCCCTAAGGTGGGCCCCCGGTGTCCCAGTGATTTCCTGGGCTCCAGACAGTGAGGTTGGGAAGTAACTTAACGTTTTTTAACCTTGTTTTTTCCTCCTCTCCTTAACCTGGGCAGCAAAGAGATTCGGTCACTTTTGTCATCATCTTATACAAATCCGGGAATACCTTCTGCCCCGAGGGATGGACATTTGAAGCTCCTGATTTGTTTGAGGGTTTAAATTACAGTTGGAATTTGTTTTTCAGGTTTGTTTTTTCCTGGGCTTCCCTCCTGGGAAATGGAGGGCTGGAGGATTGAGGAGGGAGCTGACTTTTTAAAAATTACAGTCATTTCTTTTCCTTCCCCCTACACTTTATGAATCTCATCCTGCAGAACTGTCTTCATACTCTCCCTGTGCTGCCAATGAATTATCACAAAGTGAACACGTGTAAACCCCACCAGGTCCAGAACCAGAGTTCTCTCAGTACCACAGAAACACACCTCATTCTTCCCTCTCCAGGCATTATGCCGAATAATACTAGAAATTTATTTTGCCTGTGTTTGAACTTTTGGGATCATATGTGTGTATTCTTTTGTGTGTGGCTCAACATTATGTTTGTGAGATTCCTCCATGGTTTCTGTAGTAGCAATTTGTTCATGTTCACTGTTGCATAGTATCCCTCTGTATGATTATGCCACACTTTCTTTATCCGTTCCATTGTTGAGGAGACATTTGAGTTGTTTCCACTTGGAGCTATCAAGAATAATGTTGCCCTAGCCAATTTGGCTCAGCGGTTGGAGTGTTGGCCTGTGAGTCCTAGGTTCAGTTCCCGCTAGGGGCACATACCAAAAAAAAAAAAGAATAATGTTGCTGCAAACATTCTTTTTTATTGAATTTATTGGGATGACATTGGTTAATAATATTATATAGGTTTCACATGTATAATTCTCTAATACATCATTTGTATATTGTATGTTCCATCCTAAGTCAAGTCTCCTTCCATCACCATTTATCCCCCGTTTACACTCTTCTACGTGACCCCATCCCTCTTTCCCTCTGATAATCACCATACTTTTGTCTGTGTCTATGAGTTTTTCTGCTTAATCCCTTCACCAGTGTCACCCAACCAACCCCCGCTGTACCCCCCCCCACACAGTCTGTATGTTTTCTTTATCAATGAGCCTGTTTCTATTTTGTTTATTTTGTTCATTAGATTCCACGTACAAGTGAGATCATATGGTATTTTTCTTCCTTTGACTGACTTATTTCACTTAGCTTAATACCCTCTAGGTCCATCTGTGCTGTCATGAAAAGTTAAGATTTCTTTCATTTTTATAACCCCATAATATTCCATTATGTAAATATACCACCACTTTTTTATCCACTCATCTACTGATGGACACTCGGGCTGCTTCCACATCCTGGCTATTGTAAATAATGCTGCTATGAACATAGGGGTGCATATATTCCTTCAAATCAGTGTTTCGGGTTTCTTTGGATATATTCCCAGAAGTGGAATCACTGGGTCATAAGGCAGTTCCATTTTTAACTTACTGAGTTATCCCCATACTGCTTTCCACAGTGGCTGCACCTGCGTGCATTCCCATCAACAGTGCACAAGAGTTCCCCTTTCTCCAACACTTGTTGTTTGTGAATTTATTAATACTAGCCATTCTGACAGGTTGTGAGGTCATATCTCATTGTGGTTTTAATTTGCATTTCTCTGCAAACATTCTTGAACAAAACTTTTGATGCACATATGCACTCATTTCTGGTGTGTATATAACTAGAAGTAGATCACTGGGTCATGGGAAATGCTGATTTTAACAGATAATGCTAAGCAGATTTCCAAAGTGCTTGGTTGTCACAATGGTGATGAGAGAGACAAACTTCTGGCACTTAGAAACCAGTGATGCTCAACAGCCCACAGGACAGATCCGCACAGTGAAGATTATTATTCCACCACATTCTGTACCATTTTTAACATCTCATCAGACTTCCATGTAAGAAAAAAGAAAAAGACTGCTTATAAGCCTAGAAAAAAATCCACTTTATGTATACATACAAAGATGTTTTTGCTCAATTTCAATATCGCTTAATTTACTAAGAATTCAAGTCCAAGTAAATTGAGGCAAGATTATGTGTTTTTTTTAAGGATTTATGAAAATTGTATCATCACAATCAATGAGGCTGGTGGCAACACAGCTGAACCAGGCCGCATTTGTGCTGTTACGTGCATTGTGATCCTCCCCATAAGCATGCGGTGGCTTCATTTGCCTTCCAGCAGTCACGCCTGTACATATACATATTAAAATATGTATTATTTTACTTACCTTTATTTTCCATATTATCTTAGACTATGACTTTATATTCATTATTATCCATAAACTTCATTTCAGGATAGTAAAAAGACATTACAAAATATTTGCTATTTTTAAAAAAATCACTGTGTCTAACAGGACTGAGAACCTCTGGGCTAAAACATCCCAAGCTCGCCCTGGCCGGTTTGGCTCAGTGGTTAGAGTGTCAGCCTGCGGTCCAGAGAGATCCGGGTTCAGTTCCCGCTAAGGGCACGTACCTCGGTTGCAGTTTGTCCCCGGCCCTGGTTGGTTGTGCGGGTGGCAGCCACTCGATGTGTCCCTTTCAGGTTGATGTTTCTCTCTCTCTCTCTCTCTCTCTCTCTTCCTCTCTCTCCCTCCCACTCTATCTGAACAAAAAATGGAAAAAAAACATCCCAAGCTCTATAACTCAGCCTCTTTATCTTGTCTACTAAGAAGATCAGAAATAAGTTTGGGACCTTTCTTAAGCTAGTTTCTTGGAAAAGTAATTTCCTCCTACTCTCCCTTTTACTGCCTGCCTTTGCCCTTTATTCTGTTGATGTTGTTTAGTTGGGAAGCACTTGTCCTTGCAGAGAAGGCTGTCTCAAATCCTTTGGGAAAATAAACAGAGACTATTGTCGAATGGATCAGCAGCAAGCAATGGGCAAAATACTGCCACACCAGCTAATTTTTAGTGGCAGTATCAGCATTATTGTTCTATCTTAAGATAATCATGAAATTGTAAAAATATGGTGATGATCCTTTTCGTCGCTAGAAAAGCTGTCTTCCATGTCAGAAGATGGCTATAAATGACAACTAGTTATTAGTGAAACGTAGATGTCGAAAGGAGGATCCACAGACAATCAAGACCAAGATCTTTCTTTCAAGTTCTTATTTTCCTTTCATCAAAGGTCTCCTGACAAAAGAGGCTGTGGAGATATATGTGACCCTGTATTTACTAGCAACTTCCAATGAGCTCTAAACATTCTATATCCTGAGCATATATATATGCTCAGTTAATAACAAGCTCAGGCTAATCATGTAATTCTGCTGCTAAGCATCTGCTCTTTGGCTAGAGCTGTATGAAGTCAAAGATATATGTAAATGAAGCATGGTCTGTAATGCTAAGTCTTAGAATTACTCATCAAACAGAAGTAGTTAAATTGTAAATCTGGCCCAGCTGGTGTGGCTCAATGGTTGAGCGGTGACCATGCACCCAGAGGTCACCAGTTCAATTCCCAGTCAGGGCACATGCCCAGGTTGTGGGCCCGATCCCCAGTGTGGGGCATCAGGAGGTGGCCAATGTTCTCTCTTATCAGTGTTTCCATCTCTCTCTCCCTCTCCCTTCCTCTTTCTCTAAAATCAATAAAGAAAAAAATTGTAAGTCTGTACTTTGGAATACATTTTTAAGAGTTTGCTTAAAAGAAAACTGTTTATCTCTATGCTGATATTTTAAAAGTTTCAAGATATATTAAGTGAAAGCCTTTTGCAGAATAGGTTTAATATGATCTCATTTGTTTCCAATATACATATATATGTAAATATATGTGCATATTCTTACATACGTTTGTGCCCTGGCCGGTTTGGCTCAGCGGTTAGAGCGTTGGCCTGCAGTCCAGGGAGACCCGGGTTCGATTCCCACTAAGGGCACGTACCTTGGTTGCAGTTTGTCCCCGGCCCTGGTTGGTCGTACGGGTGGCAGTCACTCAATGTGTCCCTTTCACGTCAATGTTTCTCTCTCTCTCTCTCTCTTCCCCTCCCACTCTATCTGAACAAAAAGTGGAAAAGTGTCCTTGAGTAAGGATAAAAAAAAATTTAAAAAAAGGACATTTCTTACATACGTTTGTAAATAAATACAGTATTTAAGGAAAGATAGGCCTCACCACCTCTGTTGCCGCCGCTCCGTCCCCTTGCTCGCTGGGCCGTGGCCACCCTAGGACTTTGAATATGTCGAGGATCGCCCTCAGCAGACTTGCCCAGGAGAGGAAAGCTTGGAGAAAAGACCACCCATTTGGTTTTGTGGCTGTTCCAACAAAAAACCCCAACAGCACGATGAACCTCATGAACTGGGAGTGCGCCCTTCCAGGGAAGAAAGGGACCCCTTGGGAAGGAGGCTTGTTTAAACTACAGACGCTGTTCAAAGACGACTATCCATCATCACCTCCGAAATGCAAATTTGAGCCACCATCATTTCACCTGGATGTGTACCCTTCAGGCACCTCGTGCCTGTCTGTCCTCGAGGAAGACGAGGCCTGCCGGCCAGCCATCACAACTAAGCAGACCTTGTTAGGAACAGGA